GAATTTGGTATAAGATCAAGATAACCTTTACCTGACAAGTTTGAGTATTCTTATGACCCGTTTGTTGGATGATGTATGGATATTATAGGAAGAAGTTGAATGTCAATCACTTCCAGGAGTTAGAGGTTAAAAGAACTCCTGATCACACATAGTTGCTAATTTAAAGTTAATCTAACACAAGCCACCAATCTATATTTTATTTGCTATATTTTCATTTAAGTGGTTCAACGTTCATTTCATGGTATAAAACTGTCCTGGGGTATGAAGGTTGTACACTTATTTTAAGTATGCTGTAACCTCCTTTTTGAGATTTGAAATTTCTTCTGACAATGGCAATTGATCAGGATTAAGAAAGAAATTTTCCAGTTGAACAATTTCCTTAAGTTGTAAATAAGCCAATTGCTCATTTGTCCGCTTAACAAATGAGTAAAACTGTTCACTATACAGAAGATCCATTGGAATAATCTCAACAACATCAAATGCTGATTTCTCCTGGTCCAGTTTTGAGAGCTGATCAAAAACCTGTGCAAGATAGGTTATGTAATGTTCAACATCACTGAGAAATCCTTTGCATACCAGAAACCTCTGTGGGCTGAAAAGATGTGACACCACTGGTTTAACAATGGCTAATTTATCAAACACCTGGTGCAATATAAACAAAATTCCGACACTGAACCTTGTCAGTGTCTGGTGAAAGTTAAGGACAAACATTCCTCCACTTTCTAAAAGCCTCAGAGCAACTATGCAAAGATAAACCATCTCTCGTTTTGAACTCAACTCATCAGTGTGGCTGAAATTGGCAAAGACAAGGTTTACTCTCTGGGAGTTACAGAGAGTTTCATTGTTAATAGCTCCATGAGGTGTTCCACTTTCTGTTGACATGTGTAACCAAATGGAGTTGAATCTTGCACTCTTCTCTTGTAAGTATTGTTCTAAGGAGTATGGGCCACTGACAAGATTCAGCACAATTCCATAATTTTCACCCTTTGCCATTTCTGAAAAGAAAACAAGATTATCAAGATTTCGCAGTTCTGCTTCCCCTCCACTTGCCATCTTGACAATGTTTGAAGGATTCACTTTGTCCAAAAGACCTCCGAGATTGTCAGCATTTTCTCCTCTTAGAATTGCTGCCTGTTGATGTGCCTCCTGCAACTTGCTAATGTAGATTGGGGTGCAGAAACGTGAATTCAAAATGGCCAAAAAACGAGCTGCAGTCTTAGGTTTCCAGCTCTCTGGTGAAGAACTCTTTGTCCTTGGTAACCATACAACTTGATCATGAGAAAGTGGAATAAGAGGGACGCTGCTACTGACTTGAGAAAGGTCTGCAACAAGATCGGAAATATGTTTATGAAACAAATTATCAAAAAATTTATCTTCCTCTCTGTCTTGTTTCATAGACACTTGAAGGCTGTTTGTGAAAGATTGGAATGTGTGGCATACCAAATAATTGTGGGTCATGGTCATTTTTTTGTTATGAAATTCAGCAAAAAAAAAAAAAGAAAAAATAATAGGCCTCAACAACACATCCCTTCAGGGGATAATTTACAGAATTTGTAGTTGTTTTTCCCCAACAACCACAAGCGATTTATTTAGGAATTTAAAGATAGGCTATCAGGTACTAAGCCTGAAATGAGATAAATTGTATTCCTTGGTTACAGATGAATATAGGCTCATCAGTACCACGGTAATAACAATGTTACCAAATTGTAGAACTGTAAATTTTTTTTCCAGTTATTTGACTGGTGTTCCAAAATGAATAGATTTTGGTAAATCACAGAATGCATTTATACAAGTCATGCCATTGGATTTTGGGCTCAGTAATTTGTATGGGGCTATGCTTGGGCTTTCAATTGAGAAAATTAGTCTAACATTATTAAGACATTTTAGGTGGTTGCCTAATTTTACAGTTTGAAAAGTTACCTCTCCTAAGTAAAACTTGTAATACAGCAGGTCTGAAAGTGCTCTTCTGAGAAATGTCCACAACATAACCATTTTTTGATAAGGTCTTGAAAAAAATACAATAGTTTACATAGGTTGCTTCAATCAAGGAAATGAAAAACCCATCACCCTACCTTGCAAAGTTCTGGAATGAGATGGACAAAATTTTAACTGACTATCAACTTTGATTTTGTCCAGCCAGTTCTGGTGAAGATTTCCTTGTCTCTGGTTATAACTTCCCCTCTGACGTGTACCAGCAAAAGTCTCAGCAAAAGGGACACAATTTGTGGGCCCTCTGTTGAAGCTTAACTGTGTCCCATCTAAGCTGGTACTCATTACTATATGCTCCTCTTCACTGATTGGCTGCAAGTGGAATTTTTCTACATAGTTTTCCACCACAAGCTGACGAAGTTGATTGTGTGCCTTTCTCTCTGCAGAAGTCATGTAGTGGAACTGTTGAATGTTCAGATCAATGGCTTCCATTTGAAGTCCTGTAAAGTACTTCTGGCATGTTCTCAATCTCTCCAGAAAAGTGGTGGGAATTGATTGTAAAGAAAAGAGGCTTGGTAATGGGCAGTGTGGAGTGAAAGCCTTTCTCAGTTCTTCTAAAATGCAACTTGGAATTTGCTGTTCTCCAATAAATCGGAGGCATACAATATATACTTCTGAATTACCAGATTTACTAGTACCTAGAAGAAAACAATGAAATAATTTGTTCCTCTTCAAAACTTTTTTTTGGTAAAACTTGATATATTTCAATGTTTCGATTGTTCAAAATAAGTATGGGGTGTCTTAAGTTAGAGGAGTCTAGGTAAGATTTTCCATTAACCCCTTAACTCTCAAGAACTCATTTTTAATTCTCCCCTCTAGCTTCTACTCATTACCTTGTAATTAGTTTTGAGAATTTGGTGATAGATCAAGAACATCATTTCTACCTGACAGTGTCTAATTTGAGTATTCTCATTACCAGTTTGCTAGGTAATGTGAGGATATTATAGGGAGAAGTTATATGTTAATCACTTCTGGAAGATAAAGTGTTAGGGAGTTCCCAAGTCAGTGTCTAACGGGGTTTACCACCTTTTCTCACTATGACACAGAAGGTATCCCATACAACTCAGTAGATCTCTCCTATAAGCTGCGCAATGAGTTATATACATGTTCCTACCTGGTTTAATGACTTGTATTTCTTGAAAAACACAAGTAAGAAGATACATCAGAGAAACTACTTGATGCTCAAATGCAGTGAACATTTTGAACACAAGCTGCGCAATGAGTTATATACATGTTCCTACCTGGTTTAATGACTTGTATTTCTTGAAAAACACAAGCAAGAAGATACATCAGAGAAACCATTTGATGCTCAAGTGCAGTGAACATTTTGAACACAAAGTTTCCTCCTTGGCAAAGTAGGTTCATAGCAGCTACTGCCTCACAGAAGATTAATTGCCCCACAAGACTTTCTTGTTCATCGGGTTGATTAGCACAATTAATACTGCCATCTGCTGTCACCTGAAGAGTGACAAAACCGACCCAAAGAGAAGTATTATTAGACTGTAACTGGTCTCTTTATTTTTCAATTGAACAGTCAAGATGCCCTATGAAGCAACTGTTCCCTGAGCCCAGGAGATGTGGAGCAAATATTTAACTGGAGAGCTTAAACCAGATTGTTGCAGAAGTACCTTTGGGGTCTAAAGAATGTGTAATAGGTGGTGGTGGGGGGAGGGTGCCAAAAGACCAGAAAAGATCCATAGTAAGAATCTTACAAACTCAAGTCAAAATTTTGATACATTAGTTAAAATGAAATACATAGAGAATGTTTTCTTTTTTCAGGTTTTTGATTTTGATTGTCAAACCCTCCCACTGAAATCATGTAACTAAGTTTCACTCATAGACCTTCATTTGTAAAATATCAAAAAATGTTACAGCTCTGGTAAAAAGATTAGGAGACATTCCACCTTCCACCTAACATGAAGACATAAATAACTAAAATCAGTGGCATATCAAATTCATGTATCTGGGCCTCTGATCTCAAACAGTTTCCAGAATCTCACCCTTAAGTGCCCAAATTTACACAAACTGGCTGGAGCTACATTATCACAATGAAACCTTCAATCGAAATAATTTAAAGAAAATAAATCATTGTTAGACAACACAAGAGGACTCTTATGACTTTTCCCTTACCAAGTGACTTTCACCTGTCTCCTGTTTAAGAGAATCCAGATTAGCCAGATTCATCAAGTCTCCAGTTCCATCAACACCAAAATTCCAATGCGACAATGTTTTTAATAATAAACCTGTCATCATCCAGCATGGCTTCCAGGTCATTTCCTTCGTAGTAAGGATTCAGAGTATTAGCAACCCACTGCCAATCCATACCGTTGTAATGGCTCTTCAAAAAGTGATTCAAACTTGCAACAAAAGCTCCAGGGGCCTCACAGAGGTGCACAGAGCGAAATTTTTCACTCCTTTGTGCATCCTCTGGGATAAGATCAAAGGTGTTTAAGATTTCGTAGAATTTTAGTCCAGGCCTGTGTACACATCTCTGCATTGAAGTTCTCTTTGAGGTGCTTCACGACAAGACCGGCTTTATGAGTTCTACGGGTGTGCAAATGCCATTTGACAATATCCATATCATTCAGCAAACTCTTCTTCCGATTCAAATCATCTTTTAGCGAGATCAGGTCGGCTAGAATGAATGGTGGTTCTTGAAACATCGTAGACGAATGCGGAAGTTTCCATGCTTCCTCGTTTGATTTTAAAACAAATTTTTTGTTAAACAAGGCTTCTATTTCCTCTTGGAAGTTGAAAAAATCGTGTGCATGACGCTTTTGGTACTTTCGTCGTTTCTTAGACGCCATTGATAACGATTAAGATGAACAAAAGACGTTCAAAAGACTACGAAGTGGCCTACATGCGAACCGAAAGCAGCCATATTGACGGACCACTACCGAAAAGACTGGGATCTAATCTCTAGACACTCTATGATGACAGTGTGGAAGAGTAATTATTTGCAATTATTCCGCTGTCCCGTTTTAGTTTTGTAATTTAATTGATCGCTGAACAGAGCTAGGCTAACATGTCGGACTTCCCAGCTGGAACCAACAGCGCTGTATCAGTGCTCCAGGTGCTTCTCCCGTCAGTTCAGGATGCTAAAGATTTAAAGCTTGCTCATAATCTATGTCAATTATCCAAGTTTGGGGGTGACCCAGTACTTTTTCTTCTAACTCAAGGGATACATGAGTTCTTCTGTGGTAACCTAGACAGTTGTCTGTCAAGTTGTCAATCTGTGATTGATATCTGTTGGGAGAAATGTAATACGGGTCACTGGAGAGATGTGAATGTAATCTGGAGGGAGACATATTCGTATGCAAGTTTGTTCAAGGCTCTTTGCCTCGACGGCGTAGGAAGACAGATAGAGGCCATGAAGACTTGTGACATGGGACTTCTGTTAGGGGCCCCCATTTTGGACAACATTTTAACAAGGCTTGCAACTGAATTTCAGAAAAATGTTAAGTCAAGTAGTATAACTGATCAAGACACAGCAGACAGTACTTTAGGTTGTTATGAATCTAAAATTCATTCAAAAGGAGAAGAAACAAACTTTTCAGCAGTTGTGAGATCCAAAGAAAAAAAGAGGTTGAGGGACGACTCAATGAATCTTCAGCCTGAATCTAGTGGAGATGAACAGTTATCTACAAGTATTAATTCTACAAAGAGAAGGAAGGGTGTTGCAAATTTACCCATAATTGACAAGAATTATGAACTGAGCCATGTTTGTTGTCCATCAATCGAAGCTTTTCTCACAAATCACATGCAGAAAGACAAACCAGTAATTCTTGAAGGAGTAATGGATCACTGGCCTGCAAGAACGAATCATCAATGGAGTATCGATTATCTTAAGAATATCGCTGGTTATCGCACAGTTCCAGTGGAGCTGGGCTCACGTTATACAGATGACACATGGACACAGAAATTAATGTCAATAGGAGATTTTATTGACAATTATATCAATCCAATTGAAAATGGACAAGAGTCTGAGATTGCTTATTTAGCTCAACACCAATTGTTTGATCAGATCCCCGAGTTAAGAAGAGATATCATTACTCCTGATTACTGCTACATTGGAGAAAGTGATAATGAGGTTATCATTAATGCCTGGTTTGGACCTAAGGGTACAATTTCACCCATGCATCATGACCCTTATCACAATCTATTGGCACAAGTGGTTGGAGAGAAATATATACGACTTTATTCCAAAAGTGAAACAGGGAAGCTTTATCCTCACAAATCTACCCTACTGAATAACACAAGTCAGGTAATTTGTGTTCCTTTCAGAAGAAACATATTTGTGTACAGTCAGAGAAATTGTCGTCATTTCTCCTTTTGCAGTTGACCTTCATTCTTTACAGAGATGTTTCCTTGCCTCCCTCAGCATGTTAATATCCACATTAGAAAAGAAAACTGACCATGTCCCTCTTTCTTACCCTAGTCTGTAAAGGAAGTTAGAGGTATCTGGAGGAGTGTGTTTCCATGGCAACAATTGTTTTTCAGTGATTAATATAAATCACTTGATCGACTAAGGTGGATGAGATGGGCCTCTACTGGTAAACCTTCATTTGTGTCTACTCAGCGTATGCCAGTTGGAGCCAGTGGGGAACTACTTAAAAAGCAGTTAACATGTCAACCAAAGAAGCACAAATACTACTGAAATAACTTCAAATAAGTGTCATATTTGAAATACAATCCTTATTACAAATTAGAGATACTTTTACATAAAAATAAGATTTCTATCCAATTTTGTATTTTCAGGTGGATGTTGAAGTGCCTGATCTCGTCAAATTTCCTGAATTCTCTTCAGCAGTTTATCAGGAGTGTATTTTGAAGGAAGGACAGATGTTGTATATCCCCCCGTATTACTGGCACTATGTCAGGTCCTTGTCTCTCAGCTTTTCTGTCAGTTTCTGGTGGTCCTGACCGTTGAGCTTTGTCATACTTTTTTAACGCAATAAATGGAATATACAACCTGAGGAAGCCATCTTAAGAGTTCTATCCAGAAAAAGTGAAGAAATCACGTGGGCAAAGGTCTATTTGAATATTTTCAATTGTGTGACGAGTACTTTGCGTTATAATATATTGGTCTAGAAAACTTGCGCCACCTTCTCAACCAATTAGATTTAAAACTCAAACCATTCGCGACAAAGTTACGCGCCTTTTTCGCGCGCCTCAAATAGCTTTCTCTTTGTTATTTGAATATCGATTGTTTTCTTGTGATGTCTTCTTCCTTTTCGATTGGATGCTGAGAACAGGACTGAAAACATTCCTCCCATGCTTCCTTGGACCGTTTATGCCACTCCTAGAGATGATCTTGGATGCTTCATTTTCGTTCCCTATAATTTGACAAGTTTTTGCCGCCTTTTTTGACTCTTTGGGATTGATTTTCTTTTTTCTTGGACGTTTTTCAGTCTTTCATGAGCGATTTTCTTCAAGGTGTCGTCGACGTTCTTTTGAGCCAAAATCTTGAGATAGCACCTTTCAACACCCTGGAAAAATCAACAGAGAAGAAAGGTCAAAATATCATTGTTAACCCTCTAACATCGAACATCAGTATGAATACTCTCCAAGCTGTTTTCTACGCATTTCTTAATGTGCTGAGAACGTAATTGAATATCTTTTACAATAAGAAGCTTCTCGACTTGGAGATAATTTCCTTTAATCACGTGTTTTCAACTTTTTTTTCAGGGGTGATATTGTAAGGAGAAATTCGATACTGGTCACTCCTACGGGTCATAGGGTTAACACGTTATTTCGTTACGTAAGACGCGATCTGACCAATCATCTTTTTCAGAGCTATTCGTGAAGTATCCAAATAACCGTACAATATCGCAGGATATAATTTGTACTCTATTTGCGCGTTATTTTTACTTTACTTCGTGCAGTTGGATAATAATAAATGTTTCTTTACTGTTCTGTACTGTACTGTACCTCTAACACTTGTGGAACTGCCGACAATTCAACCAATAGTGCTGCAGCCTCACATTGAACCGCTACGAGTCTAGATGACATCATAAGGTTGTACACGCTCTGTATGAAACAGCTGACGTTTGGAATAGTCCGTCGGGATTTCTGGTGAAATTAAAACCAAATTAGAAATCAGTGACAAAACTCAGGTCAAACAAAGTTTGAAAGAACATCATCTTTGCTGTTATCTGACTTGGCATGGAGGCAAATCAAAATTGTTAATTTTTCGTGCTAAACATCGTGAATTACGCCAAAGGGACATAACTTTCTATCCCTCACTCTTAATAAACTACATGTTTTTAATGGTCTCGAACTTCCTTTTTAGAACAAAATACCCTGTCCACTGAGCTGTTTCGCCATCCTTTAGTTTATGACGGTCCTCACAACATATCAGGTGATACTTGATTTGAGAGCAACTTGTGGTGAAAAATCAAACGCTGTGTTTATGGTGATGTTTTGAATAATAGATTGATATGTGATTCGACATGATCAACACCGTTCGACTCAATATCATGAAAGTGACAGATTTCAAGAAGTCGCTTTTGGGGGCCTTTTGATCAATCTGTTTGGAATTATGTGCTTATGAGAAGTGGAAGGAGAAGCTTTGTGCAAAACATCCAACTGAGAGTGCTCCATAAAACCAAGTTTTTAGAAATTCAAGATACCATTAAGTGACCCTAACGGAGCTCGAGATAAAGGTATATTGATAAGCGGGGAAACTATCACTCCTTTCAGATTGAAACGAGTATCCATAAGGTCTAATAAGGTCTAGAACGGGAGAGGCTGGTTTTTCTAATACTTTCAAGTTATGCTATCTCCGTAGGTTAAGCTAAGTATTAAAAAAAATTAGAATAAAGGGTCTAAGCTTCAGAGCTTTTCTGTAATTATGAAGACAAGAGTTGAGATTTTTTGTATCCCACAGTTGATTACAGCGTTGTGATCAATATCTTTACAGCGATTAAGCCTCCAACAATCCTTGCGGATTGGTCTCGGGTCACTTTGGAATTTCATGGATCGAAGGCCTTCCGGTTTGTCTAATAAACAGGAATCCAAGTGATTTTAACGTATTGAACGAATTTCAGCCTCAATATCCGCTCTGTCATGACACATAATCTACCGGTAAATCCTCGCGAAAAAAGACAGATAGAAGCATGTGACGTTCTTAAATCATGTGGGATAAGATCAAGGAAATGTAATGTGACGCGAAACTGAAAAAATCTTTTGGGTAACGCCCCTGAGCAGGATGTGTAAAAATACAGAACTATATTATTTCCATATGAGATTCTTTCACGCTTCAACACAATTCACAGTATGACTCGCGGTATTTTTAACTCAGTAAATACAAGTCCCATGAAAACCACCGTCTTTTCAATAAGTTAGTGCCACATTGTGCTATGAAACACCTAAATAAAAATCTAATAACTGACTTGACGGGCTCTTTGATTGGTACTGATAATGAAGTATAATAACGCGACTGAATATTCTGTTAATTACATCAAACTCAAATGGGTTTTCATACGGTAAATTAAAATAATGAAACAGTTGTGAACTCACCCTAAAACCGTTATCACCCCGAAGAAACATAACTGTAAGTAGTGTACAGTGAAGTGGGATGTACACAGTACAAATCACAAGATATCACTGTTGTCAAAGTACGAGAACGTCACTCGGGCGGACTTTCGACTGTCCCTTTTCCTGATCTTGATAAATTCAACCTTTAAAGATTGTATCAAAAGCGTTTTCCTCGAAAAGTATTTTTCGAAATTTCCCTGATACACCGTGAGAACTGTAGACTTGCGAGTCGGCGTAGTCTGTGGGGCTGATCCGTAACAAACGCTTTCACAGTTTGTCACTTGTTTCTGTGAGTAGGTGGTTTCGTGACCGGAAGTGAATTTCCTTCATATCTCCGCAGGCCCCCCCTACGTGAGGCATTTGTGTCGTGGGTTTATCGTTTTTATGACGCACTCAGTTGTGGCTGGCTGATCATGTGAAAAGCAAATGACTCAGAGTACTTAATCTGAGAAACTTTACTTTGAAAACAAAAGATGAAAACAAAGTATCTGAATAAATTTGAATAATCGACTTTCAAAACTTCCGAAAGTAAGCGGAACAGTTGTAAACAAATATATTTAGTGTATCAAAACAGAAGTTCATTTCTTGACGTTTCCGATATTCAAGGATAAATCAGTGTATCAAACCAGTGGCTCCAACAGACCGACTCTCACGCAAACAATATTTTGACTGATAACCAGCTCCAACAAAACAGCGTGATCTGTCAGCGGTATGTCTTGCAGGCTCGCAAAAATGTGAAAAAATGGCGGTAATGCAGTGGCGAAATGATTTGTAAAATATACAGTTGAGCATTGTTTCGTATCCTGTAATCATTTATACTTCAAAGAAGGCTTGAGCGGACAGTACCATGGATTCTGTAGCCGAGGACGATATAACTCTTCCTCTAGATTTTGATCGGAGGTAATTTGACAATGACATCTTAATAGTGTTTCGCTTTGTTTGACAAGTTGTTTTGGGTTCATCGATCGCTGTGCGGTTTTGTCCGGGGTTATTAATCCTTCGGGTTGATCTATTATTTATATTGATAGTCTTTCATTAGCTTCATTTGCAGCTTGAATAAAGCTTATTTTGATTCTAAATTTCATCCCCTTAGCACTAACCTCGCAAGGTTCAGGGAGGCTGTTGTGGCGGGCACGGGAGGTGACATGTTGGATTCCTCCGCTGAATTTTCCGAGGGGTTAACAGTACGACCTACAACAACAGGTTAGGATTTCTATTTTTGCTTCAGAGTTCCGCTCCATCGTCGAGCTGGGGATCTCGCATCTCAGGCGCCAATGGCTCATTTGTAATTCATTACTTTGCCATTTTTCCAAGGCATGCAGTGCACGTATACGTAATCCCTGTCAACTTTTTGAGATTTCCAACCTTGTAAAATTGGTCAGGAATTTCGAAAAGCCACACTAGCCTGTTTAGCTTAGACAGTGTGAACGTCAAGATAAGAGACAATTTGGATTTGTTACTCTTTGTTGCCCGTGTGATTGTGAGCAGTTGTTCATAATTTAGACATAAGGATTACAGTCTCGTAATTTGAGTCTTAAGATGAGATGTCTGTCTATAAGAATATCACGCAGTTGAGATAACAGCTTTCAGTTTAGAAAAAAATTGTTTTCTCTGTAGTGTAGTTAAGTTCATAGTTACTATAACAGTGTTACTAATAAACATAATTATAGCTACGGTATAGTTATCAACATAATTACAGCTTTAATTACCATGACACAGCATCTGCCAGAGTGCAGTCATGATCAACACATGAATTCTTTCCACAATACCAAAACATTGTCTAGCCAACAGGTAATAAGAAGCAAGAAATTGATCCGTTTTGTAAGATCTTGATGGAATGATAAACTCTCATAGCTTATTTTAAAGGAAATGTGAGGAAAGGAGTAGAGAGAATTTTGATTCAGATCACTTGGAAGGGTTCCAAATGTTTTAGTTTAGTGTTCAGGCGCAAAAATCAGAAATTCAGTCTTCCTTTACAATATCAAACTTGCAGACTAAAATCTAAATGGATGAGTAATAACATTCATATACTTTGACCCATTCTTTCTGCATTTTTGACCCATCACTTTGGGAAAGACAGAGCTTAGAAACTTTAGATAAATTGAGGGACAAACTGCATGTGCATCAAGAATCTTGTACACTAGGTACACTACAGTGAAAATAATAAGCTGAAGTACACTTTATCTCCTTCTAGGTGCAGCTAATCAAGACAGTGGTGGGTCTCCTCAAACAAAAACAATGAAAGACTATGAATATGTAAGTGAACTTTAACAGTGATACAGTGTTCTAATCCTTTGTTAGACTTGAAATAAAAGAAACTCTTTGTTTCTCACCATTATGAAACTACAGCATTAGGTCAAGATTTCTTGGATAGTGGACCATCTTTTTGCTTGGACTGTTTCTTCCCCTTGGAATATGAAGCAGCCAAAAAGAGTTCTGTACTATTGTTAATTGTAAGAATTTTATCTGATCACTCCAAGAGTTTACTTGTTCCTTAACAATCTCAGAAACATATTTTAGAAAGGTGCAACTTCATCAACTGATTATGCCTGGCTGCAATTGTAACAACCCTCTCATTCTCAATTATCTCTTTACCGACCCCAAAAATTATGGTTATAGATCACTAAGTATACAGGGTTGATTTTTATCCAATTCTTTTGGTCAGTTTATCAGCTTTATGCAGTTAAAAATTAATTTTGATATCAGTTTCAATAATTCCCAGGAGCTGACAAAAGCTTTTTACAGATGTGTGTGTCTGAGCTTCCTGTCCACCTGTGCTTCAATAGCCATATTACTTACACAGTTAAAAGCAGTTGGAATTATTCTTCTTAAAATGCGCATATTTGAAGCCTATTTTTTTTCCATTTTTTACAACTAAATTTGAAGTGAACTTTTATTTCAGTTCTTCTTTAGTTTGAATATTTATATTCTTCTTATATTCAAAGTGGCCCCTGTTGATAGAGGGAAAATGAAAATTTAAGGCATTTCAGGGTTACAGCTGACAGCATTAAGGAGTAAAAAGTCTCAACTCAAGGATGAATATTTTTGAGGTCATTTGGCTAATGTGGGCAAGATTTGCATTTAAAGGATAACTTTATTTTTTCAATTAAACCATGGCCAAACAGCTGAATGAGGTTTGAACAATATTTATCTGCAAAATTGTCAAAATATTACAGCAGGAATTGTGATTTGTTTCCATGTTGGATTTTTGTCTTAGGATTGTCTGGAGGTGGCTGAAAAATCAACACAATTAAAAAATATAATTTTTGTGTGCAATTAATTACATTCTGCTTTGTCTGTTCATAGCAAATATCAGAGCTAAAGAAAGAAAATTTTGGTTTGAAGCTGAGAATTTATTTCTTGGAAGAACGTGTTAACCAGAGTGGTGATGTTCCAGAGGACATTTTCAAGGCTGTAAGTAAAATTGACTTTTTATAAACTAAATTTCCTGTTATTTGTTTATTTCTTGATTGAAAGTATCAACTTAATTACTCAATAAATTCCATTTACTTCATAAATTTTTAGAATGGAGTTAATGCAGTATACAGCTTGACTTACTGTAGAAGAAAAAAATCAATTTATTCCATTTTAGATTAAAAGATTTTAAAGTCATCTTAGTGAAAAGGTTACATGTACTTTTTGTAAATTAAGGAATTGTAGAGGTTTGGTGTACTAAGCAAAAAGGTTTTGAAATTTTTAACCCTTTCACTCCCAAAATCTCCTTAGAAAATCTCCTTACTGTTTGCCATACAGTTCTTATGATGTCAGTTTTGAGAATTTGGTACTGGATCCCCTTATTGATATTTTTCTTTATTCTCATCACTCATATGCTTGATATTGTATTGATATCGTGAGGAGAAATTCTGTCTTGGTCACTCATGGGAGTTAAAGAGTTGATGGATTAGGGATTTTAGTTTGAGATGAGCTATGGCACAAAATTGACAGCCTAAGGAAACAGTGTTAAGGAAGAAATCAGGAACAAATTGAAAGCTTAATTATCACGATCTCAGTTGAAACATAGAGAAACTCACTCTCTCAGTTTAATAATTTTTTTAAATCAATTTTATTAAATTACAGATTGAAACATATGTACCCATATGTAATTATATAAATTTTTTTTTTTAATTCATTATTTGAGAAAATCATTTTTATTTTTTGTCAAAGAACATTGAGCTTAAAGTGACAGTGGAAAAGCTGAAGAAAGAATTGGTTGAAAGACAGGAATTGCTGGTTAAAGCCTCGTAAGTGCAAACTGTGTAATTTTAACTGAAATTCCAAAAATACTAATTTTAGTCACAAAAAATGCCATAGCTTGATTTTCACTCATTGATAAAGCACTTACATCTCTCTTTTCTTTTCATGCATTTTTATACTTCTCATTTGCAGTTTACATCCTGTCTAGTCTTTCACCTTCTCTATTTTGTTTCATGTTCAGTGATGTGCCAAGTTTCATTCTAGGAGAGTGAAACACACCCTGTTTGGAATTGATTTTAAATTAGATTTTTCCCCTCTTAGGAATGCAGTGGAAACCTTTGCTCAAAATAATGACACACAGATTAAACAGGTGGGTATTATTTAAATACCGGTAGCAATCAGTGAACAATGACAATATACTGAACATGTTGCCTGGTTCGGTTTAAGTAATTCTGATAGTGTTGGTATTGATGACAGTGAGTGATGTTTTGGCAACCCTGAATGAAAGCTATGTTCAGAGTTATCTGAGGATCTGTTTGTTACTACAAAAACCACAGATTTGTGAAATGGGCCTGAAATCGTGCCCACTCCACTGCTTACGTATCGCATAGTTCCAATTGCTGAAGTGTCATGTTAGATGTCATGGCAGAGCTAAGCGCATCTGGGATGTTTTATTGTCGTGGAAAAGCTCCTTGAAAAGACATAAGGAGGAAGATAATGCTAGACATTATCAAAAAAAGGGGGAACTTCACCACAGCCTTTTCTTTGTAAGAAGTTTCTATGGCTACCAAAGAAAACAGGGTTAAGTATGAAACATTAAAAAAAAATTGGAAGGAGGAAATGGATATGAAAACATGAAGAATGGGAATGGAATGTGATGTAACTGTTTAATGAAAGTGGGAGGGACAGGGATGTGTAAATGTAGCCCTGTTTCACAGGTTGGTGGTTTTCACAGTACTTGATCACAAAGTAGTGGGCCTGATTGTTACTATTTTATGTGCATAAAAGTTTGCTGTTCGTGGCCTTTTCAACATTTTTGAAAACTATTGTTATAATATCCACTCAAAAGTAAGGCCAAGAAGGCTTAGCTACAGGCAGAAAAGAATCCAGGCTCTGTGTACTTATTTAATGCTGTTTAACCACACAGCTTACAGAAGAACACAATGAAGAACTGAGAGAGATCAGGGAAGGATATGAAACAAAACTTAAAGAAATGGAACAGGTTTGATGTTTTATTTGTTAAATGGTGTCTCCAGAAGGGTTCAATTTAGATTTAAAAGACCACATAAATTTTTATGCAGTGTCATAAAACAAAAACCAACTCTGATGTAATCACAATGACCAATCAAGACAATGGAATGTGTTGTAGAAAGCTAGTAAGAACTTCAAGCTGGTTTCAGTTTTGTATGTCATTTATTGGGGGTGGGGGGGGGGCAGGGGGTAAAGAACTCTGTAAGCCTTTCAGGCAGTGTACAATAAACAGTAAAGAAAAACATGTAGCCATCCTCAATGGAACCAGGAGACACATTGCTTTCAGTTTTCTGATTGAATTCTTGAATATTGCTGGTCATTTTATGCTCTCTCTGTTTCTAGGAATTGGCAATTGCTAAAAATGAACTTGAGGACACAGCTGATAGGCTTGTAAGTGACTCAAACTGTTACTTTTATGAAGAAAGATGTTTTCGTCTTGTCACGAGCATGGGACAAAAAAAAATTTCTGAGTCCCCATGAGGAATCGAACCTCAGACCTTCAGATTCTGTGCCCCAATGTTCTACTACTGAGCCACAGAGACTCCATGGTGAGCAAGGTCTACTATGAAGTTCACATGACATGTGTCCTGCATACTGCTAGGATCAGCAATGTTACTTTTATGTTGCTTGATAATAGCCCTTTGTTATTTTATAGCTCTAGGTCAATTATCAGACCTTATAACTTGTGAATTATCTTATTCAAGCAAACAACTTTCATAACTCAGATACAATCACATTAACTGTCTGACCCATTAAAAGTGACGTGCATCTAACCTTTCCTCACAATATCAACCCTAAATCAAACATTGAGGTCACAAGAATAATAGCCTGCAGTGCAGGCGTCTTGTTAGTGCAAGCTAACGCTAAAAAGCTCGCGATCGGTTGTTCGACCGGCCATTTTTGATTTGCAGTTAGAGTGGATGGTGAGGGTAGGGGGTGGGGGAGGGGAGAAAAATCTTCACTCCCTT